AAGGCGTCCCTATGTCATACAGGCCCTCCAGGATCGCGTGATCGACGAGACACTGGAGATTCGATACATTTTGAAGGTTGATAACTGTCACTCTCCCATATATTACATCTACCAAACCTACATCCAAAGACCTTTCTACATTATGAGGAACACAACGACACTCACGTGGACCTTCATTGTGCACAAAGTCGGCTCGATCGCGTACCACAAATCCTTCATAGCGCTAGCCAATTCCTGCACTCCTGGGAAATCATGCACCGTGCACAGCAATCAGCTCTGCGCTCTTTTCCAACACGCGCACTAATATCCAGTATGCGAGCACGGCGACTGCACCAACGGGTTCTGCACAAATATTCAGAGCGGCCGCAAGGGGAAATGCAAAGAAGGAAAGCTAAAATATGTAGCTGTGCGAAGCCATGAAAACTTAACTATAGACTGCTATGTTTCTACTTACAGCGTCCTTCTCAGACCCAGTGATGCCTGATAAGTCGTCCATTCCCAAAACGAATTTGGCCGCGTATGTGAAGTTGCGAGTTGCGGTGATGAAGCTATAGAACTCCTGCAGACACTCAGAACGAACTTTCATGGCCGGAACGTGACTTTTCGGAGAGAACATGGCTAAACTGATTGCTTTAAAGCCCCATGGAAAACGAAAGAGGAGAGTTAAGCGGGAACCTCGGAAAACGTCGCACGTTATTCCTTCTGAGATCACATGTAGAGCGTCTGGTATACAGTTATTAAACATTAGGATCTCCATCATCTGCATCCAACCTGTGCAAGATGTCCCGTACGTGTAACTTTAAGCAATGGACGAAGACACGGATCGCTCACCTCTGATCCCATTAGCGTTCGACATGGCATCCCGAGTTATTGAGGCAAATGTGCGACGATCTCCTGCATAAGGGAACCTGGGGAACCAAATCACTCGATGACCACCTTCTTTCACCCTCGAAAGTGCACAGATGGCAACCGTTCTGTGACTGCCAGCGGGGTAAGTCGTATAGTGTTTTAAGGCCTAAAACTGTATGTCATACAAAAATTCCTCTCCTGTGGTCGTAACTGCTGAACTCACACTGAAGTCAATGACACCTTTGGACAGTACAGGGGTGCAGAACCAGGTGCGATCATCTACAACAATGGGAATTTCCGCTGTCCAGCAGCGCCTCCAGTTCGCTACGAAGTCTGAAGGGTTACAGTTCAACCTAGCAAATGGATGCAACCGGAAGAGAAGTCATAACTCACTGACCGAGAAAACATTTCTCGCAGCAGGGTTTCTGTGGGGCCTTTTTTGAAAACGTTATGCCTATGTTTTCGACCTTGTTTTTCTCCTTGAACGGCAGACCTTCGATGCGAAGGTAGATAGGCCAGGTTTGCGACCTGAATCAGTGAAATGAGATGAGCAAGCAGAAACGGCCAAAGCACTGATGTCGAGCACAGACCGCGACAGTTTCTTTAGTTTGACGCCGTCAAAGTTAATAGTCAAGATGATATTGATCTTGCATTCGTCAAAGTCCGTGTGCGTTTCGATGAATCGCTTGTACCATGGGAATGAATAGGTTTCGCTCCGCTTGCCACTGTCATCCTAGAATGGATTGAGGGGCCTATCGCGGTACATTGAAAAATCAACTTCGTACTTAAAGTGACACCAAAGCTTACCCCGGCATGAATTTGTCTGTGAGTTTGAATTAGGCGACTGAGGATCCTTCCAAGTATTAGTGACAGTTGCGGCTCGATTTGCAGGAAGTGAATAGTAGTTCGCTTCGATGCTTTGCACCGCTTCGGAGTAACGCTACAATGAAGCCAGCTGAAGGGTTACGACGAGTACTACAACTAGGGAATGTGAGAACGGACCCTAGAAGGGGACATTCGGTGTTCCTACACGCTGCCCTCGGACAAATTAGGCGTGAGTCGCAAGAGTTGCAGTGAAAAGACTTGGAATGGCCGTAACGTCTATACGCCTCGTGCATCAACCGCTTGACTGAGTATCGAACCTTCAAATTATGTTATGTTTACCATTATTGTTAACGATTGTGTTTCCTTTTGTTATCTCTTGTTTCTTTTGTTATTGCTAGTCATCAGTTGTTAGCATCAAACAGGGAAAAAAACAAAAAAAACAAGAACAGCATGGACCGCATTTATCCCTTGGAAAATATTTTAAAATAAGACGTAAGTCACTCAAATTCAGTTACTGTCAGTGAATCTCTAATTTGTAAAACAGAACTGACCCATTATCATAATAGCCAACATTGTGTGACCCATCAGTCAGCCTGCTCAAAGGAGAACAGGAACTAAAACTATCTAACTAACTAACATTTACGTCCGTCTCCTCAATCTCTTCTTCCTCATTGGTTCAATCCAAAACCCTCGCCCTAATCTTTTCCTCCGCCATACCGCAACCATGATTCCCCCAATTCTGTAAAGTTTGAGCGTGGGTGATGTGCGGCTTGTGCACCATCTAGCCAGTACATTTTACTTCACGGCAAAATGTTTTCCACGAAGTAAATGCGATCGCATAGCATGTGATATTAAAAAAACCCTGAAAACAGCAACAACGGAATAAAAAAAGAAAACCCTGAAAACACCAACAACGGAACTGAAAATGAAACCAACCGGCTCTGCCAAGGTTGCACCACTTACAACATGAATAAATCATCCATATACCTTTGCCATTTCCTCGCTCACTCCGAAATGCAGTTGAAATTAGTAAAATACAGTAATTTTTGCTTGGACGCTGAAAAGAATCAAGTTGTAAAACTTGGCTGCACATTGCTATAAAGCCGCACTTACTTAGAAAGGGACAGATAGTCCTTGGAGAATCGCACGAATATTTCCTTCATGCCACTCATCTGCTGACTCTGGGTTTTGAGATCCTTCGATATCAACGACTACGTCTTCCTCGCGTGCTCCTCGATTTTCTGCGACCTCGAGTTCTTCTGGTCCGGGGCTCAGATCAGCGATCTGGCGAGCCAAATCTGCGATTGGTTCTAAACATCGTTACAGAGTAAGAAGGCGAGGACTGCTCCAGGAAAGACTGAGCGACTACGAAAGATGCCCACCAGCGAGCGCTCTCAATGAGCGACTTCTTCTTTGCAGTCTCGGCATCTTCGGCAATGGTTCGGACTCTTCGTCGTAGTCGGAAGAACAAGAGGAGGAAGTTCGTCTACGCGACATGAAAGGACTCACTAATCTATTAAGACCTAAATATTAACACCACAGCAGTTCCACAGCCAAGTATTCCGGTCAAGAAACCGAGGGAGAATGAATCATAAACCAAAAACAGGCTTTATTCCGCAAACCACAAAAAAATCACAACGCTACTTAGCGCCTTTATAATCAAAAACCGTTTGAGAAGGGAGTGCTCCGTGAACGCCGGTGAAGAGTTTCCTCCTGCTCAGAGCTAGCGGAAATGAAATGAAAGGGGAGTTATCGGTAGAGTAGTGGATCTTGGCAATCTTTGGGAAGATTTCTTGGACTGCATCTTCACTTTTGAAGAGAAGGGATTCCGTTTGCGAACAACTTGCAGACAACAACAAACAACTCAAAGATGCATACTGTGACAATGGTCTGCTTGGAAAAAATTGCTCGACGGGAAATGCGATCCCTCCACCTCTTGCGCATTCAAAACAACACACCTAAATAAACATACGAAACATAGCGATAATTAGTAAGGCAATGGTCGTAAACCTTGAAAAAGGCACCTGTTCTCTCTGAGATCCAAATAAGTGACAGCTGGAAGCTTGGCTTTCAAAGCTAGCCAAGGATGGGCCAAAAGGTTGTTGCGAAGGCAAACATATTTGATGCAAGAATTGTCCGCGTGAATGTTTTCGATGTCCTGGTCAGTCAGCTGGCAACCCTCAAGATGCAAGGTCTGCAAAGTCGACTATTCGAGACGAAATAAATCATCTGTCCGATTCCCATCTACCTCAAAATGTGGGTAGCTCCAGAGATTCCGAAGAGCCTCGAGGGCAGCCGTCCTATCGCTCCTCACACGTAAATCGACCAGTGGACCCGACATAGCGAAGATGACAGACAATTTGATCTTCTATCCCTACTACTGAATGAAAAAACTTGTGAGCATTTACTACATATCCATCCCTTCCTCATTCAAATGATCATGGAACAAAGTACTCATTCCTATATGCTAATACTTCTGTCCAACCTCAGTTCTTCAAAACCACTTTCTTTCAGCTTCATGTAATCAAAATCCCTACTTCCAAAAGAACTAGACCCACTCAACTGTAATCCTCATCTCGTACCATCTCCTCTCTCCACTCTAAACACACAAGGACTGATCAACCGTCTCAGAGCACTTGACAACCGCGAAGCCTCTCTTCTCTTTCCTTTTTTCTTCCTCCTTACTTCCTTTCCTTCCTTCCTCTGCTCCCTCTTCCTTTACCTTCTCCCTTCAACTACTGGGCTACTAGGTTCCCCGAGAAAATACCCCTGCACCCTCAAAGCGAGAGCACGTCTGGTTGACAACAGCCCGATCAACATCAAATGCTCTCTCAAACTATCTCTTGCTAAACTACCCAAAAAACTAAGTGAAACTAACTAACCTGAGTAACTACTCCTTACTCGGACAGTAAAAAGGCATCGCGAGTAATAGAATACGAAAACGACGACAAAAAACACAAAAATCAAAAAAGAACGAAGCGGAGGGGTGAACAGGGCGAATGATGACAACTGAAGTGTGACTGCAATCGATTTCGCGGGCATCACGTGGTATTTCAAAACAGTGGGTACCGTAGCAATATCGCGTCGGGACCCCAGCTCTGGCCCAGCCACATCTAGCAGTAGTAGTGCTGGGCGTAGCATGGCAGGTCTCCGGACGACAGCACACAGCGGTAGCGCAGGCAGGCAGCAGCTTAGCAGTAGTTGCGCCCTCTGTGACGTCATAGCCGTGTAAATTTTCCCGCCAATTTGCCCAATCGCGATAGGACCAACGCCACAGTCCTTTCCTTTGAAGCGCAACGGGACTCCAGTTCAAAGCTCGTCACTGGGCAGCACCTGTCAGTAGTGCCCGTCGCAGCTTTACAGCAGGAGGGCGTGGCTAGCCAATAAGAGGGGAGAGGCTTCTCGCCTAGTGGTCCGAGCATGGCAGTATATCCTGCTGTCAGGAGTTCGCAGCAGTTCCAGGAAGAGAGAGAGCCGACGGCTAGCGTGGCAGGAGCTTTCATCAGTACGCTCACTCTCCTCCCCAAATCAGATCGGCCAATCAGGGAGCAGAGGCGGACCCGCAGCATATGCTGCCATACTCCTGCATTCAAAAAAGTGGGCGTTCACTACGAGAGTAGAGCTGTCGAACTATCTGAGAAGAATCAGTGACTATAGCAAAGCAAGGCTAAATTAAGGTAGAACATGAAAAAAAATAACAATAATGAGGCGAACTAGCACGAGAGAAATCAAATGAGAGAAGCCCGCGAATCCTCAAGGTTCACCAACTTTTTGGCAACAAACTTGAAGGAATTCAGAGAGAAATGCATGATGTCACGAGTAAGAAGTTTGTTGAGAGAGGCTATTACCCTTACAGAAAAGAATTTGGAGCGGATTTGGGTTTTCACCAGCGGAACCTTGATTTTAGCATCGTGCCTCCTAGCTCTAGAAAGGGTACGCGTGAAGAAGGATTGGAACTGACGGCAGCTCTATCAGTCAGGATTTTGAATGCCATAAAAAGATCGTAAACTCCATGTTCGCCTTTCTTGTAACCTGGGCATTTGGTACTTATAGTTCTAATAACTTCTTTCTTATGCCAAACAGGTTTGTATGGTGGAATACTTTATTTACGCCTGACGTTTCGACAATCTCGTCGTTTTCAAAGGCCTGGAAGCATACCGAAACTTTGGAAACTATCTATCCTATTCAACATGGGCCCGCTCTTAACTAGTTGCAAATCAGACCAAGGAACTAAAGGAACGAAGGAAACTCCAGCAATAAGTTACCTCGTCACTCCACCAGCGCCGAACTGCTCTACTTCCGTCACACAATGGTCTGTCCATATGGAAAAGTGGGTGACTGTACACAATGGGCAGTAATTTACCAGATACAGTGTTTGACCTGTGGTGCATTATATATCGGTGAAACTGGGAGGCAATTATGTATACGCGTAAAAGAACACCTGGCTAGCAAAAGACGCGAAAGTTTAGTTGCACCGCTCGGCAAGCATAGGAGGGAAAATCATGGCGGCTGTGATTTTGATATAAGTGCACGATACTGGCTCACGAAAATGATGTTGGTGCTAGGAAAACTCTCGAGGCTTCTGGATAAAGCACCGTAA